GTGTTGAATGAATAGAGCAACAGTTGGATGTGGTTCTGCCTTAAATGGGTTGGTGCACTGGTTACACAAATTAGATTGCTGTATCTGAAAGTGGAAATTGTGTGGAGCATGGCAGTAGCCTTCACAGCTCCCTGTCCTTGCACAGTCAGAGCCCACACAGGGCACTGGGCCCAGGGCTGTGGGCTGCTCCACCTTGTAAGAGCCAAAGCCAGTGGAAGCCTTGGACCATTCTTTGCAAGAAGGACTTTATGAGTTATGTCAGAGGCAGGTCTGGGCGTGAATGACAAGGCAGATTTGGTGTTTGCACAGGGAAGAAACTTTCCTGCCAGAGTAAGGTTGGTGGGGAAGGGTGTGGCACTGTGGGTCTAGCAGATACATGTGGTGGGCCCTTCTGGCTGAACTCATGGGGGTGTTTGCTTTTGCTCTTCTCAAGAAGCTCTCTCGGAAAGCTCTGGTTCTCCTGAAGAGTGGAGCAGTGCTGCTGCTGCGCTGGGGCCAGGTGCTGTGGGGCAGGTGGGAGCAGGCATCCTCTCTGGCTTCTTCTAGAGTCCAGCTGCCTATACACAGTAGTTCCCCCAAGGTCCCTGAATTCCACAGACTTCCTTCTTCCCCACACCTGAGCACTTTGTAAATTGCATCCTTTTCTAAAGACCCAAAATAAAAACCTCCATTGGAGATGTGCCTGCTTACTTTTTATGAAGGAAATAATATTAATATCTTACGATTAATATTTCTGTAAGTGCACAACATTCTTGCCTCATGCCTGTTTTGCTGCCCATCTGTGGATCTGCACAACAGTTGCTTTCTGAGTGCAGGCAGGTGGGGCGGGGATCCTCCTACCTGGAGGTGTTGGGGAGGCCCGTGGGCTGCAGGGCTTCCCTCTCACCTCTCCCCATGGGAGTCCTTAGCTCCAGTGTCTGCTCCCAGGATTGCCCTCAGAGGTGTCCCAGATATGGATCAGGGCCTTCTGCCCACTGTGGACTCCTCACTGGGCACAGGCACAGTGCCTCTGCAGTGGCCTCCACCGTGGCAAGTTTGCCCTTGTGGTTCCCACTGTCTCCTGTGTTGGCGTGGTCGGAAGGCTGGTCTTCCCGCCCTAGCCTGCATCCAGGAGCCCACCAGCATTGGCAGGTCTTTTCAAAATGTGGGTATTTTATCCCCCTGCCTTTTAAAATAGACTTTTGGGTGTTATCCTTTTCTCATTGTTTGAATCTCTGAGAACCCATCTTCCCTCCCTGGGTTTTTGGCAAATTGAGAAATAAAACAAAATAGTGGGAGATGGAGGCCAAAGAATAACATTTATTTCTGCTAAATGAGAGGCTTGAAATTCTATCATGGTTTTGGAGCCAAGTAAACCGGTTGACTGAATCCGAGGATTGTCCAGTCTCCTCCATTCCACCCTGGCCAGTGCAGCACCTGGCAGGTCACCCTCCTGCTCAGCAGAGCCTTCTGGCAAGACTGACTCTAAGATATTCGGGGAGGTAGGAGTGCTGAGCCCACTGGCTGCCACTCTCTGGGTTTAGGAATCACAGTGGTTCTGGGGTGGGTATTTCTGGGGATACAGTACAGGTACTGACTGAGCTCCCTCTACTTAGAAGAAGGCCTAGGTCTGGGGAGAGGTCCTAGCCCTCCATGCCCAGCCTCTTCAGCCTGGTGTTTGCATAAAGTCCCTGGCCAGTGGAGGACATGCACAGTGCTTAGCCCAGCCCCCTGGAGCCCCCTGCTCCTACAGGTATTGTCCTGGGACCCCAGGGAAGGGTGAGCTGTTGGAATGTGCTCCTGATGGCACTAAATGTGCAGAACAGAGCATTAATGGACTAATCTGCAAGATCTTTCTCTACCTGAGGCTGCAAACTGCTCTCTCGTTTATTTCTCAACCTAATTCTATCCAGCTGTACTGTTCAACCTGGCTTATCAGAAATTCCTTCATCAGGCTAAGTGGCAGTCTGTAAACACCCAGCAATGCAGAATGCTCCAGATTTGAATATAAACCTCCTTCTGTCACTAGTTGCCTTGGAGAAATGAAATCTTACAGGCTAACTTTTCCAAGTTGAGGTCCAAAGATGGTGACATTCAAAGGAATTGAAGTCCAGAATCTAAATTTCTTATGCCTCCTGAAGTCCAGAGCCATGACAGCTCACATTTTTCCCTTGACTGCCACTACCACCGTCATAGCCAGCTGGTGCTCAGGCCTCACTGGGATGAGCAAGGCCCCTTCAGGGAACAGATGCCCAGAATGTTAGATGTCTGGTCTCTGACAGCCCTAACTTCTGAGAGTTCAACTTTTAGGAGGACCCACAGCTTATCAGAGAACTCAGCAAAGCTAGAAAACAACCGTGCCCGGGCCTCTGGGCAGTCCTCCTGGTGACATTGCATTCCAAGAGGCCCTACATCCTGTCATCAGGCTAACAGAGGGCCTGGCATCACTCTGAGTGAGGTCAGCAGATGCCACTCTGCTTGGTTTTTTTCCCTTGCAGAGATGTCCATTTGGAATCCAGAGCATGTCATTTGAAATCCACCTGGGAGAGCTCTCAGCAGGAGGGTGGGGACGATTCTGCTCATTTTCCGTGTCTGGGGAAAAACATCCACAGTGCCTTGCAGGTGTTTTTAGTTTTGTGCCAAAGTGGCTGCTGCTCCTGCCTTTGTTAGGAAGTGGGTGTGCATGGTGTGTGCACGTGTGTGGTGTGTGTGCATGTGTACGTGTGTGTATGAGAGAGTAAGCAAGAGCACTGTGTCAGATGCCACTGCTGTGCTTACTTTCCACACTTGACTTTGGCCTTGGAAACTGCTGCTGGCCCGCTGTCATCCTCGGCTCCATGTGTGTCTCCCAGAGACTGGGAAGAGTCTTCTCCTGGAGTCAGGAGCTAGGGTGCTGGAGCTCTCTTACCTTGTCCCATGGGCCTCCTGGGGGCTGATCCCTCTGTACTGGCTCCATCGTTCTTCTTCCATTAAAGCCTAGGATGTGTTCCCAAGAACACAGGGGATGTCTGCATGGTGGGCACTTCTAGAAGCCCCTCCAGGATGCCTGTCTCCGGTGTTTTCCAATCCTGTACCTGTGGATGAGGAGCCTGGAGTCTGAATCAGTCCCTCTGCTTCTGACCTGGGTTCTGACTGCCTGTGGAAGGTGGGCAGCTGCTCTCTGCCTGCAACCCTGTGGAGCCAGCAGACACTTGATGCCTGGGTTGTGCAGGTAGCAGGGTCACCCTGTCTGCAAGGCTACAAAGGCCATATGATGTAATGGCGCACTCACCCAGCTGTGCCAGGCCTGCCTGGTAAGCTGCAGTTGCCCGTGCCCAGGACTTCCACACCAAGGCCATGTTGCCTGTGGCCTTACTGAGTCCAAGGCCTGGTTCCTCCTGGCCAAGGCTGAGAATAAAGCTGCTGCTGTACTGATCTGCCCAGAGGCTGTCTGCTCACTAGGCACTTCAGAGCCTAAGCCTGGACTTCACTAGAAGCCTAGGTTCAACCCTGTCAGTTTGTGGCTCCTGGTCTTTTTCTTTTTACTTCTTAGTGGTTTGTAGAAGCTTCAGTAAAGTACATCCTCTAAACCTTCTACATTAGTTGTTTTTTTTTGGTACCAGGGGTCAAACTTGGGACCTTGCACTTGCAAAGCAGGCAGCGGAACCACTGAGCTAAATCCCTGGCCCCTTCTATATTAGTTTTTATTGCTGCCATAAGAAATTACCATAGACCTGGTGGTTAAAAGAAGATAGATTTATTGTCTCAGTTCTGGAGGTCAGAAGTTTGACTCGGGTCTCTCGGGGCTGAAATCAAGGTGTCTGCAGGCCGTGTTCCTCCTGGAGGCTCAGAGGAGCATGCGCCTCCCTGCCTGTCCAGCTCTAAAGGTGACTGTGCTCCCAGGCTCCGGGCCTCTCAGAGCCAGCAGTGGCTGTTGAGTCCTTGCCACTGACTCTCCTGTCTGCTCCTCGTGTAAGGACCCTGTGATTACCGTGCACCATGGAGGGTCAGGGTGAGGCCCTCTTACTTTTGCTCATGTGCAGCTTTTGTTTCCCCTGCACACAGTGATGAATGGGCTGCAGGCTAGGCCCAGGCGTCTTTGCGGTGGCTGTCACCGTGTGGATGTGAGCCCCAAGCTCCTCCCAGGCCAGAGCTGCATCTGTGCATCCCCACTGTGGGATGAGGTGGGGTCAGTGTCCTTTCTGTGTGCCCCCACCAGCTGCTCCTGAGTGCTGCTGTCTTGGGTGGCGACAACAGCCCTTGTAGCGGTGCTGTTTGCTGAGCGTCTGCTGTGTCTTGAATCCGCTTCCACACAGCACCACTCACAGGATTTCCTAGAAGCTTCAGAGCTGTTCTACAAGGCAGGGGTGTTAGTCTCATCACCCAGAGAGGTTATCCTACTTGCCTAGGTCACGCAGCCTCTGTTACACAGATAACAGAGCTGAGGTTTCTGTTCTAGGTCCATCTGATTTGAAACACCCCCCACCTTCCCACACAGGTTCTCCTGTCTCAGCCTTAGGAACTCATTAGTCTGAGAGTGGTCACATGTGCAGCTGAGTTTTCCACATTCAGTGTTGTCAGCCCTATGTGTTGTCATTCAGACTGTCACATGGCACTGACTCTCCTGGCAGGGCTGAGCGCTTGCTGTCCACGTGCCCCAAGAGGGGGTCATTTGAACAGACAGTTCTGCTCAACAAACTGGACACACGGTGCCTGTTCAATTTAAATGTAAATACCTTACATTTACATATGGAAATGCACCAGGAAGCACTCCTCTTGGTGTGTGCACTTGCGGGCTGACATCAGAAGTGTGGACTTTCCTTCCTGAGTGTGAGTGTGACCGGATGGAGCAGCGCCTCGGTGGTGTCTGATGGAGCCCCGTGCATTCCCTTATTCCACTCTTAAAAACACAATCTCACAGTTTGCAGAATCACGTGACTGTGAAACTTACTGTTGCAAAGTTATTTTGGTCACCTTTTTCTTCTTTGGAAAACACTCTTTACTTTGTATGCATGTGGTACACATTGTTATTTCTTCCTTAGGATAACTACACCTTTGCCCAACCTGGAATTCAAATGAAAGTGAAGATGTTGGAGGAACTGGTGAGCCGGATTGATGGTAAGTGGCTCTGGGCACAGGGAGAGGGCTGGTGGGGGCCCACGGAGGCAGCTTGGGCCTCGGAGGATGCTGTCCCCGTGGGCTGATGGTGCCCAGGCTGCTCACACTTGTGTGTCCCCCGATTCAGCCATAGAGTGCAGATCACTCCTTCTACCCCTACCCCTCCGTGTCATCATCAGGATGCAGCAGAAGCCTGGCAGAAGGGTAACTAATACAGGCAACTCTCACTCCTTGTTAAGCTCAGGGACTGTCATCATCTGGATGACAGTGGTTGTTTATGGCTGTCCTTTGGCACTCTCTTCACTGTGTGCATCATTTCACTATCAAGGAGGTTAGACTAATTTCTCCATGGAATCCAATTAATTACCAAGTCTGGAAATAACATCTTTAATATTATAGAAAAATTATAGTGTGTGCTTGGGCAATTTTAGATTATGCTTTCATATTTAAGTGGGGGCTCTGAAATACTTTTTACCTTCATCCTTAAAATAATTCCCCCTGTGATATGCTGACTGTCATATTGCAATAGTGGAGTTTAATTAAATGAAAGTTGAGAGATAATGCTTGCCCATTCCTGGCAGAGTCTCCTGGTGGTTTGTTAAATTAATGAACAGAGCATTAACGAAGTGATGCCAAGCAGAACCGGGCGTCTATTTGTGACACCCACCGGTCAGCGATGAGCTGCTGAGGAGAGACTCACTCTTTCATAGAGTCCCAGGTGAGCCAGCAAATCATTTCACTGAATGCACAGAGAAACAGTACTTTGTTTAAAACTTAGATATGGCAGCCTGCCTTCTGAGGTCGAGCAGCTTCCCAGCCTGCCCTTGCCCTGCCTGGCCTTGTAGAAGACTGTCACCGGAGTCTGCACCGGAAAGGCACTTGGTGTGGGCAGACACTGAATGACATTACCAAATGGAGCCATACAAATGATAAACTCCATTCTGTTCCTTGATTGAAGCTGGTTTTCAGCTCTGTGTCTAATGGTTATTGCCGAATTTCCATATTAGGTATTTGTCTTGCACAGTTCTTCCAATGATACTTTATCGGATTCAGCATTATATTTAGCTACTTCTCCATCTATCTACTCAAAATACTGATTTTTTTTTTTTTTGCCTCTGTCAGTGCATTTACCTTCATTCACTCTGCACGCAAACTGAGATCTAACTTGGCTGTAGTTGGATTTTTTTTTCCCTGCCAACAATTTCACAAGCATTCCCTGGTCTCATTTAGTTCTTTGAAATATGATTTGCAATAGATGTGAATTACTTGTTCTTCACAGGTTCTTCTTTTCCTCTTGTGCCCCTTTGAAGGCATATTTTATATTTTCCTGGAGGTCAGAAAGTTGTGGCTAGTGCTCATTTGCTCCATTGCTGCAGTTGGGGAAATACTTGAATTGATTTTCTCTGGTCCTGAGGTTTGGAAGAAGCGCATCACAGATTTCCTGGGTGATTGTTTAAAGGAGTGGCAACAAGCATCAAAGGAACCCGGTGCGAGTCTGTGCTCTTCAGTAAAACATCTTTTTATTTCCTGTGCAGCTTCTGTAGGGCATTTTTATCCTGTGCCCTTTTGCTCAGAGGATCGGCTCTTCATAGCAGAGAAGATCCTCTTGGAAGCAGGCTAACCGGTGCAGCATCTTTGTTCCTGTTCTTCCCATGAATGCTTACAGAATTTCCATGATGGCTTCAGTGTAAGGATGCCGGCCTTCCAAGGAGGAAGCGTACACCAAGCAGAAAGCGTACACTGTTTGCAGAGTTCAGCCTGGCTGGGACCTGTCTTCCCTGTGCACTACCGGGAGCAACATTTCCTATGACTCATCACCACCTCTGGGAGAAAGAATTTGTGGGTTTGGAACTTTTTCAGGGACTGTAAAGATTTTATTAAGGCAAGATGTATTAAGAAGAAGAAATTGCTTTTGAAAAAACCCACTGCTTCTTTTCTCCATTTCCAGGGAAGGTCAGCATTTATTTCTGAAATGTTTCACTTTGATACAGGGGACACCTTCATGGACTCACTGATGAAGAAAGGTAAGGATCTGTGGCAGATCCAGTTGAGATGGTGAGGAAGGAGCTAAACTGCCCTGCAAAAGCAAGTTGAAGAACTCTGGAGTTGTGGCAGCACTGCTGTGGGCCAGAGGTCAGAAGGGAATGGAGAGGTCCTGGAGCAGAAGGAGACCAGAGGGCAGTGAGAGGGAAGATGGAGGCATCTGGCCACCTTGTTGTCCTGTTGTTAGGAGGAGCTGGAGAATGTGCAGGCAGCATGTGGAGCATCCTGAGCAGCGCCTGTCTGGCACTCTGGAGATTAGTGGAGATATTGTGTGGACCTGCAGGTGTGGTGTGGGAAGAGAGAGGGTGATGTCGGTCACAGAAGCCATGTGAAGCGGGTGGGCAGCAGTCCTTGGAACAGCACTGTTGGGAATAGTGACCCACCTCAGAGAGGGATCCGCTTGCTGACAAGCTCAGGGACCCCCAGCGTCTTGAGGCGGAAGCTGTCTTCCTATTGAATGAGATCTGGCATCTTGAGTCACTTACTTTGGAATTAAAGGAAGAGGTGATGGTAGGAGGGACACCTCTTTCCAGGAGTGGCAGGCTGGATAATTCCCCCCACTGGAGACAACTAAAAGGTTAGATAGTTTAAAATTTTTTTTAAGCCATCAAACAAGCAAAACAAAAAAAGAAAGAAAAATTTCTTAAAAGCACTAAACATTTGTTAAAAAAATCATGGACTTCCTGGACCAGTAGCCTAGCTGCTATTGCTCCATGATTATTTCTTGATCCAGAAGAAATCATCCCAGGGTGAGCCACAGGTTTGGCATTCTCATGGAGGGATGGGTTGAACCCTGACTCCCTCAGAATCAGGAATCCAACACATGCCTGTCCACTGCCTGGGACCATACAGTCCTAACACTGGCCTTCAGTCTCACAAATGCTGTCTTTGGAAGTGCAGTGACCTTATACACTCAAGGATGAGCCTGCATTCAGGACTCTTCAAGTGAGAGTAAACAGAGAGCAGAAGTAGGTCTTCTAAACCTTTGTAAGCTAAGCCTTTGTACAAAGGCTTCTGAGCCTTTGTAATCCTTAGGTGCATGTCATAAACTGCTATCCTAATTAAATGTGAAAAATAAAAAGTTTGACAATGCCTGCAGGGAATATATTGTACAGTTTTGTATAAGAGACTTGAGAAATGACCAAGTAGGACTTCTGGAGTTGAAAAACACAATAAGCAAAAATAAAAGCTCAGTGGACAGGCTTAACAAATTAGATATATCTAAAGAGAAAATTAGTGAAGTGGAAGATGGTCAAGAAGGAAATAGCCCTAGAACAAACCAAAGAATTACGAATATGAAATACAGCAAGTAGGAGATATAGACGGTGTGGTTAGAAAGCCTGTTGTATTTTTATTTGGGATCACAGAAGGAAAGGAGAGAGATTGAGTAAGAATGTGAAGAGATTCTGACAGATGTTTCCAGAACTACATCAGTTCACAAATTCAAGAGGCCAGTGAGTAACAGAGAAAACTGTGCAGACACACCATAGTGAATCGAATTAAGCCATACATCAAGAGAAATTCTGAAGCAGTTTGAGAAGAAAAACACTTTTCTAAGAATGCGTATTCATTGAGAACTGACTTCTCAACAGAAGTACAAGAGGATATCTTCAATATACTGAAAAGTAGAACTGTTGCTATGCAGTAAAGATACGCTTCAGGAATGAATTTGAAATTCCAGGAGTCCCTCTGAATCTGGATGGTTTCACACAGTTTCAAGGAAACTATAAATCGAGAAGAAAGCCCATGAAACCATGCAGGGACCACCTGCCCCTGCAGTCGAGCCAGCGGCCGGCAGTTGCTGAGAGCCCTGGGCCCCGTGAGGGCAGCTAGCACAGATCCTCTGGGAGAGGCTGGTGCTGGAAATTTGTGGGAGAAGTGACAGGGCCAGATTAAAGCTCCGGCAGAAAGACAAAATCCCTGCCAGGACTAGAGGAGACTGATCAGGTCTGAAAGCTGGTTCCTGGGCTGCAGTAAAGGATTTGGGATTTCCTGGACGAGGGACAGCTAGTCTTCAGCCGAATGCCATTCTGAGCAATTACAGGTCCTATAGGAACTGAGTTTTCTCCCTTACAGTGTTCTGATGAGGGCCTCATCCTGCCCAAAGCACCTTGCCTTGGCCCTGGTATGGAGGAGCAGATTTTGGTGCAAACAGCTAACTGCTGTGGGCCAGGCAGCCTCCAGCAGCCACAGCTCCACGCCTCTCGCAGGCAGGAATGAGCTTTTCCTGGGGACACCCTGGGCTGCTGGTATTGGGTGGGAGGTCAGGGAGAAGGGGTTGCTGGATACGCAGGGAGGCAGGTAGGTTTGTGGGGGTGGGGGCCAGTGGCCAGAGGAAGGAGGCTGTATCTGTGACATTTATGGTTCTATCAAAATCCCACCTGCTACTTTTTTCCTCTCCTATTTATTTGGCTTCTTGAACCTTTATCAAATGGAGTTTCTCTCTTCTCTACTGAGGAAAACCAGATGAAACCCTTGTAGCCTAGGGCGCGGTTCCAGCCCTCCCCCCTGCCCAGGGCAGACTCTTGAACTTGCCTGTCCTTGTGTGGTACATGGTGTGCCAGATGTTTCTGGAGGGCGGTACACAGAAGTGATTGTTCAGAGAAATGCATTCCAGCACCATGTGATTCTGTCAAGCCACCTCCTGTCAGCTTTGATGCTGGGTATGTGTGGTGCCAGCAGCCTCTGTCTGCACTGAGTATGGCTTGAAGCTGTGTTGTCCTGGTTGCTGGGGTGCTGCTAGGCCTGGGGTGTTGTTGTAAGAACTCTGGACTCCAGGGTACCCTGCCCAAACGGGGTGTGGAGAAAAGTGGGGCCTGTAGGGGCCTGGCCACTGACCAGGCAGCCATGTGCCTTGGGTTTGTGGAGGGTGCTGTGCCATTCCTGGTGGCACACACGCTCCAGTTCTCTGCTGAGCAGTGCCTGTCATCCCAGTGCCACTGCTCACCGCCTCATGT